AGTAGATTCTCTGCCCCTTTGTCTCACTCATCTCCTTCTGGGACACCTATAACACAGATACTAGTGCACTTGATGTTGTCCCAGAGCTCCCTTAGACTGTCTTCACTCTTTTTAATTTTTTCTTTTATCTGTTCAGCTTGGGCGATTTCTTCTAGTCTTTCGTCCAGCTCACAGATCCATCCATTCTTCTGTATCCTGTACTCTGCTTTTGAGTCCCTCTAGTGAATTTTTCATTTCCAGTATTGTATTCTTCATTTCTGATTGGTTCTTTTTTATATCTTCCATTTCTTTGTTGACATTCTCACTGAGTTCATCCATTCTTCTCCCAAGATCAGTGAGCATCCTTAACACTCTCTGTTTGAACTCTCTGTCAGGTAGGTTGCCCATCTCTGTTTCATTTAGTTCCTTTTCTGGGGTTTTGTCCTGTTCCCTTACTTGGAATGTATTCCTTTGCCTCCTCATTGTGCCTCTTTCCCTGTGCTTGTGTCTGTGTATTAGGTAGGTCAGCTAAGTCTCCTGCTCTTGGAGAGGTGACCTTATATAAGTGATGCCTCATGAGGCCCAGCAGCGTGCTTCCCTCGGTTCCAAATGTTCCAGGAGTGACCCCTATGTCGGCTACGTGTGTCCTTCTGTTTTGGTGGGGTTGCTCTTCCTGTAGGTGCCCAGGGAGGCTGAGCTGTCCCCCTGGCCAGCTGCTGTAATGCTCAGCTGCTTGTAGTTGTTGTGGGCCCTTAAGTCTCTTTATCAGGTGTATGGAGCCCCAGCACACTTGGCTGCAAGGTCCAATAGCACATTCCTGTTGCAGTATTTCTGTTAAGTGAGTAGGCCCCCAGCGTGGCAGGTTGTGAGGCTCAGGGGCTTCCAATTGCTATAAGCCTCCAGGCTTTAGGTCTCTTGTCAGCTCTCTGAGGATTGCAGCTGGGTGGGGCTGGCCTCAGGCATGGGAGCACCCACTTGTTTCAGGCTTTGGAAGGTGGGGGCAATCCCCTATGTGGCTCTTAGAGAAGCACAAGTCTTCTGTAGCTGACAAGCCCCACTGCCCACAGCTCCACACACACAGTCAACACAGTCCTGCCCCATGTGTGTGCCCCGACCTCCTGAAGTGGACCCAGTCTCTCCAAGGTGGGATCCCCACACACTCCACCACCGCCCCACCCTCTCCACCTGCTTCTTAAGCATGCCCTGCCCCACAGAGGTGGACCTACTCCCCAGGCTGCAGAGAATCGAGGCAGTTCACTTAGCAGGCCCACCAGTTGCCCAAGGGCTTGTTGTTGGGTGATGCCAGTCCCTAGGGTGGGCTGCCTGCCCTGGCTGAGCTGGATTAAATCAGTGCCCTAGTGAGTGGGACACTAGGCTTGGGTAACAGGCCAGGGGAAGAATTCCAATGGCATCTGCCAGCGTCTGTGTCAGCACACACACCAGGTCACAACAATGGCCGCTGCCAATGTCCCAGTCCTTGGAGAGGTCTCACCTCTCACCAAGATGCACTCAGAGCCCATCAAGTGAGTCTCTTTTCACCAAAGGACTGTGCACCTTTCTTTCTGGTGATTTTACATTGCTCTGAAATGGGTGAATTTGTGTGTGGGCCCTTTAAGAGCTGGCTTTAATTTCTATGTGAACCAGCTTTTCTGGGGGTACTCCCCAATGTTGTTAGTAGCAAGCAAAGTCAGATATTACGCCACTCATCTTGGTTGTGCAGGGTCCAAAAGTTACCTATAGTGGGAGCGCTCCCTGGCTCAGGGACCCCGCTTCTCTAGGGAGGGCTGAGTACCTTTGGGTTTATCCCAGGTGGCCGTGAAGCTGGCAGCTTGTGAAGGTGGTGTTTTTTTCTCTCCAGAAGGGAATTTCTGCCTCTTCCACCTCAATTAGGATTGTTGTTTGTTGCAGGGAGGGGTTCATCTTATCCAGTTTTCAGTTCTCTCTCAGGGGTAATTTTTCCAAGAGTAGTTGTAAATTGGCTGTGTCCGTGGGAGGAGAGTCTGCCTACACCACTATCGTGACTTCTTTCTCTCTTGGAGGAAATAAAATAAATTAGAAAATAGAATCAGTGATAAGAAAAAAGTAGAATCTGAGGGCAAGGTCCCTTTACCACAAACTGTGTTGATCATATTCAGTCAATAAATATGCGCTTGTTGTGTTAGGCGGTGTGGAAGATGATGAGGACATGTTCTAGAGAGGGGAACAGGCATTAATCAAGTAACTGTAAATGATTATTAACGATAAGTGCTGTGAAGGAAAACACTTCCACTTCCACAGACACTGACCAATATAGCAGTGGGGGTGAGAGGGCAGGGAAATTGGGAGCCCATTCTGTGCCCAGATAGATTCTCATTAAGCAAATGCTGCTGTAGATTCCTTTTATTTCTACATATACTTAGAAACTCCAATTTAAGAAGAATTATTTTTTTTAAAGATAACTAAATTCTCCTTCAAGATATTCAGTGGTGCCCTGGCTACCTAGTGTCTCTGGATAAGCAAATCCCTAAAGGGTTTCCCAGCGTCATCTGAATGGTATTCGTAGACAGGCCAAGCTAGCAGCTCTGAGGCTGTGGTTACAGGTGCCTGTAACACCTAACACAGGGCTACAAACTCCCAAAGTAGGTGCTCCTTTGGATCAAGGAACTAGTTCTCAAGTGTATTCCTCACAACTCTAGCGACTTGGGTTATTAATATATGTTATGGGTGAGGAAAAGGGGAATGAAAGTCAGATAAACTTGGGAAATGCTGAATTAGACAAAATCATACAAGTTTTCTTTTCTTCAGGTCTTCTTAAAGCCTTTTCTTTTTGGTGAGGAAGATCAGCCCTGAGCTAACATCCAATGCCAATCCTCCCATTTTTGCTGAGGAAGATTGGCCCTGGGCTAACATCCATGCCCATCTTCCTCTACTTTATATGGGACGCCACCACAAGATGGCTCGACAAGCGGTGTGTTGGTGCGCGCCCAGGATCCAAACCTGCGAACCCCGGGCCACCGAAGCAGAGCGCGTTCACTTAACTGCTGTGCCACCAGGCCGAACCCTTAGAGCCTTTAATAGGCTGACTTCTTTGTAAATTTTCAAGAGGGTATTTCTCAGAGTTAATGACCACTGGACCCTTTTCTTGCAGAAGCCCTCTAGGTACTAGTGTCCCATGGAACAAACTTTTGGAAATTTGTGAAATGCAAATGACTTTGTCTGGGATAGAGGCTGGAATAAGGGTGAAATGTAGTCCATTAATATTCATAATCATTTTAATAAATTCAATTAATCAAATTAACTGCCGTTTTTGAGCAACACTCTGAAGCAACAGAATTTTAGACAAATCTATTTCACAAGAAAGGAGAAGTCCAGGTTGTGAGGGAGGCTCGCGGAGTGTCAGCAGGGGTCGCTGGGCTGAGGCTGTGGGAATATCCAAAGGTAGCTGATAGGGATTAAGACCAACTCTCCATCACAGGCCCTGGGGCTGGTCTTACTCTTGTCTAACTCAGGGTCAATGTTGCTTCCTTCCCCAACATTATCATTTAGCTCATTCTTATAGACACATGGATGACATGAAACAGGTGGAAAGGTGATGCACCACCGAAAGTGAGTAATTTATGTCCTTCCAGATAGGATTTGTTCTTCTCTAAAGTTTTAAGCAGTCTGTCCCCAAATTATCCAAGAGCCAGAGCAAGAGTACAAATATGAGTCCACATATCCTAAGTCTATGTAAAAACTATAAATCAAGCTAAATACTGTTAGATAAAATATGTTCTGTCCTCTTATCTTGACAAATATACCTCCATGATCCCAGGCGGCCAAGTCTGAGTTTCTAACTTGTGACTAGCTAGGAGTTCTGCCTGACCTGGTTGCACAGGCCATCAGCCTTTGGCCCCTCTCCTCCACATCTGGCTCTGTCCTGCACACTGAAGAGTCTCCCACACAAAGGCGAGTGCACCTGCGCTTGCTCATCTAGCCCTGTCCACACTCCCCAAACACCACCCTGTAGACCTATGTGCATCCATAGCAGGCTGTGAGATCTGCTCTCAGGAGGAAGTACGTGGGAACAGGCCTTCACGGGTCCTGGACAAGCGCTCTGAGCTGTTTGTGCAGGAAATCCTAGGGACCCCTGAGGATGGCATGCACTCTGGACAGGCTCGTGGCCTCGGCCCTGACCATTCTCACCCTGTGAGCAGGAGCACAGCTGGAGGAGGGCCAGAGCTAGGCAAGTCTCAGGTGGAGCCTAAAGAGTATTTGGAATTGAGAATAGAACCTCTATGAAAATCACGCTTTAAAAAGCTGCAGTCTTTGGAGCTACCCCCAGACTCGGGGGGCGGGGGGGGCGGGGAAGAAGAAGAAAAAGAAGAAGAAGGGTATTTCTTATTTGAATTTAACTACTTTTGAAAGCCTCTGGTCAACTTTTCTTCTTGTTCTCCAAGGTAAGATTATTTCCCCTTTGGCAGTAAAATGGAAACTAGATCAGTTGTGTGAAAAACCAAAAATGATGTATTTTATCAACTTCAAAATTGTCCCAAGGCTTTCTCCCATACTGTGTTAAATAATAGAAGTCTTTTTAATTGAATTTCTTTGTGTGTAGCATATGCTGGGTGACATTATGCCAGCATCTTGCTCTAAGCAGCAAAACGTTCTTCATAAAAGCATTAAGATCCAGAGTGTCATTCTGCATGTGGGGAAGGAACACAGAACCGCAGCAGCTTGAAACCACATAAAAACAGTGCCTCTGAAATGTAATTGTAAAAACACATTGCAACAAACCAGGGGGACAATATTTTAGATTTAGAATGCAAGCAAAAAAAAGAAGAGGAAGGAAGGGAGGGAGGAAAGCCCTGTGGCACACCTCCATCTATGGGATCAAAGCAATAATGTTTTGAGTGTCCTAGCGTTCCATCAGCAGTCTAATCTATATATTCATTTCCCCTTGACAGCCACCATCCTTCAGAGGTGGGATTATAAATGGATGTGTGGTGGACTGAAGCAATAACTAGTCTGCAATAACACACGATTGTGTTCTTTACCCCAAGGATCCTGGAGCTTCAGCAGAATGGTGACATGGACATCCTGAGGCACAAATGGTGGCCGAAGAACGGCCAGTGTGACCTGTACTCCTCAGTGGACACAAAGCAGAAAGGAGGTGCCCTGGACATAAAGAGCTTTGCAGGGGTCTTTTGTATCCTGGCTGCTGGAATTGTCCTCTCCTGCTTTATAGCCATGCTGGAGACGTGGTGGAACAAGAGGAAAGGCTCCCGGGTCCCATCAAAAGAGGTACTTGATTGAGAGCGTCAGCACTAAATTGAGCCAACAAGCAAGCTGTATTTCCAGGGAGGATAATCATAAGCAAGGAGATAATGAGTTGGGGGTGGTTCTTGTTTCTTCTTTCCCTGAAGAGTGAAAATAAATTTGTGAAATGTAAAAATTGGTAAGGATGACACCAAGTTCCATTTTAGGACATCCCAGATAAACGAACAGGAGACTTCAGTGTTTGAAAGACTGACAATTTCATGTGCCATATGAGCTTTGAAATTCTCCCAAATCTCAGGATAGACTTTAATTCAGTGAATTTTTAAAGGCTATGATTCCCTTGACCAGTTCACAAAGATGCTTATCATTTCATTTCAATTAGTTGCTTAACTTATAGGTAAATTACTTGTGTCTCTAAGATTCAGCCTAAGAAATCCAATACTACATAAAATAATCAGAATTTTCTCTTCACCACCAGTGGCTGCTTCCCTCTATCTGTACGTAGACCTGTAGAAGAGACGATATGTTTTTAGCTCTTTGATGGCTTTAAGCTTAACAAATCCACACCATGGAGTCATCTAGAATTCAATTTTTCTCCTTGAGTCAGCTTAACTCCAGGGCCCTATTAAAGTTTTCCCAGAGATCTGAAAGAATAATTGCAGAGTTACACATAATATCTCTGTTAAAGTGGCATGTGCCTTGTTTTCATCAAAAATCATGGGGTTTATAAATTATCAGAGAAAATCTGAAGTTAAAAGAAACTACTTGAGTCATTTATCTTATTTCCACTGGACAGAAAGGATGAAAATTTTTTAAATAATGAAATCATATTCACCAAAGTTTCACAATGAAATGAAAAACAACCTGAATTTGCTGAATGATTTGATTTGCTGGACAGTTTCAAAGAAGGATTGTTTTAAACTTTCTGTAACTAGACCTCAGCTAACTGATGCCTAGAGCGAATCCTGAGAGGATCTGCTTTAATGCACAAATAAAAATGACTTCTCATTTGCATAAGAATTTTTGCATGTTAATGTATTCTTCCAAACAGGTTGTTTTCTAAAGTTGTCTGAGGATTCCTTATACGCAAAATTGATCAGTACCATTTATAAGGAAAAACTTGGCTTAGTGAAGATAAATCTTAGCTTCCTACCTGTCTGAATAATAATACATTCTAAATTAGTGGAGTATGAACTAAAAATTAATCAGGTTTTATTGTAGTGTTTTCTTTGTGGAATAAGCTTCTGTTATCTCTATTGACATTGATTCAATGCAAAAGACCATATTAATGCAACATTATAGCCGAGACTTCATATTCTCAAAAATCTGGAAATTGAGGACTCCCCAAGCTCCTTATATTTTGAATTACTATATATGATATTAAATTTTTGCATTATTGTATCTGTTGATGGATGACTACCGTATAGTTGCTGTGGGAACCATAAAATTATATCTCTTACCCCTCTAAAGTCTCAGTGATAATATTGCATTAATGGATATTTTTTATTAGATTTTGAAGTGAGAAAGGAGAAGGAAAAACAGTGATGCGCATCAAAATATTTTTCACTAAGGAGCACTATAATAGCACAATGAAAAAAATACATACTCCATTCTAACTTATGACAGCTAATCCAGATCTTACGAACAAATATTTTCTCTTCTTATGATTAATAGGTATTTTTAAATCCTCATGAATTTAATTTTTTGAACTTGGCTATAAATAAGACTGATAAAAAGGACAATTTTAATTCTTGCCAGTTTGATTTTTGAAATATTGGGCTCTAATGCTCACTTTTAGTAAAAATCCTAAGGGATTTATGAATTGGTATCAACTCCAGAAATCTGAAGTTTTACTTCCTTTTTCTTTATTAAGCACCTTCTTTACTAAGACTCCATTAGCATAGCTCAAAGCATCTTTGATTTAGAGGCCATTTAGCATAAACCTGACCCTAAACTAAAGCTATCACTCACATGTCATGACTTGAAGGAGAGGGGGCTCTAAGGTCCCGCTCACCTCACAATATTGCCTCATTCAGGTACTAGATAACTGAGTGTATGAAATCTCTCAAGTAGACATTGAGTCTCTTGTGTTGAATGTTGCTCTCTCTAAACAATCTCGCATATCTCTAACCTAAGGAGAAATAACACTTTAACAGTCACTAACACTTTAATATGAAGTAGCATATCAGCATATTGTGTCACTTATCTCCAAGAATGGAAAGTTAAGATTAGCAGTGAGTAGTGGAAAAGAACAAAAGTCCGACTTGGAATGAGACACCCTGAAAAAGGAGGAAGCATGTGTAAAGAAGAGGTGGGGTGGGGGGATGAGTTGCTAAAACCATACTTTTTATTTGTACAATTTTGTCTCGATCTATCCCTGCTCTTATCGCAGGCAGTCACCCATCTACTGCTTCCACATTTTCTAGTTGCATGTGGCGTATGCTCATTTTAGAACTTTTACTGCAAGAAAAATATTTATTATCAATAACCTTATCTCAGAATCACCCCAGAATCTAGCACAGTGCCTAGCTCATATTAGGTGCTCAATAAATATTTGTAAATGAATAAACCCCAAAGTTCAGTTAATTACATATCATGCTTGCTGAACTACTTTTTTTTTTTTTTTTTTTACCATGGAAGCTAGTACTGATGAGAACCTTATCTTCTTTTTCTTCATCTCCAGGATGACAAGGAAATTGACCTGGAGCACCTCCATAGACGTGTAAATAGCTTGTGCACAGATGACGACAGCCCCCATAAACAGTTTTCCACCTCGTCAATTGACTTGACCCCTCTGGACATTGACACTTTGCCAACACGACAAGCACTGGAGCAAATCAGTGATTTCAGGAACACTCATATCACCACAACCACCTTTATCCCAGAGCAGATCCAGACGCTTAGCCGCACACTATCAGCTAAAGCTGCCTCTGGTTTCGCTTTTGGCAACGTGCCTGAGCACCGAACTGGCCCTTTTAGGCACAGGGCACCTAATGGGGGCTTTTTCAGGAGTCCTATAAAAACAATGTCATCTATTCCTTATCAACCAACTCCTACCCTGGGGCTCAATCTGGGTAATGATCCAGACCGAGGCACCTCCATATGAGCATCCAACAAAATCTCTCCACTGTTTCTTTTGTAGGACTCCCTTTGCAAGGAGCAACTGAATATCGTGGGACTAACATGGATGTAACATTTTTTTTAAAAGATCAGGATTATTAGTAACAATTTCAGTTCTTTCTCCCATCCTTCTTCCTCTTCTCTCTCCTCTATTTCTTTCTCTCTCCCTTTCCGTCTCTTTCCGTACATTTTCCTCCACTTTTTTCATTACTCAACTTGTTCCCCCAGAATATAGTATGCTAGGATCCTATTAGTCTGCTTTTCATATACTGTACTTCAAGTATAGGAAATGTGCACTGAGTACCCTAAAGGTATATGCAGGATTAATTTTACATGAAGGCGTCTTATGTAACATTTCTCTATTTTTAAAAATATAATTGCAATAACTTCAGTCTTTTTACATTCTTCTGCTGCATCCATACAACGCTCCACTGCTGTTGAGTGTCCTTTAACTGTGGACCAAAGGCAACCCCTGCAGTGTTTATAAAATAATTTAAAGACCATTCAGGCCACATAATATGAGAATGCAATTTTGCAGGATTACAAAAAAGCCATTAATATGCCAGTCAAGACTACAGTTAAAACTACTCTCGCACTGCAACAGTGCATATGACCTTTATGTGATTGTACAGTATTAAAGTTTTTTCTTATGTACAGTAAACTTGATCATATGGCAGAAGCCTCTATTGTGTTAAATAAATTAGTATCTCATATATATATACATATATATGCACCTATATGATGTGTATATATATTAAAAGGCGGCCATTGCTATTGCAATTCATTTAATAAAGCTTTAGTTTAAAAAAAAGTGTTGTATACAGGAAATATGTACAGCGCAGGGGGTCTTTTCAGTTAGAAAAGGCAGGTTGCTTTAATGTTATTCTGACTCGCATTGTTTGCCAACAGAGAATATTTTATACTTTTGTTATTAAAACATCCAGGGCGATTTAATATTTGTTCCTAGATGTTACTCATTTGAGTAGGTTTTGCATTTGTTATTCAGCAGTGTATAAAGCTAACCTTGATAATTTTACTTTTAATTAGTTATCTAAACGGAAAATGCTGTTAGCTGAACCATGTCCACAACAGCACATAGAGCTCTGTAAGAGTTTAAACGTAGATCATTGAAGGTTAATAAATTCTCTTCCAAAGCAGTAAGCCAATCGATACAACTATAGTTGGGGAGAGGTGGGAGCCTGTAAGAAATATTGATGTGGCCTTAATTACCATCATGCATTATCCTAAAGAAGAAAATATAATAACCATGCTGGGCTCTCAACCTAACCCCCCTTTTTATTCAGTTCTGTTTGGAGGAGTTATGTATTTTTTACATTAGTGCCAAGTGTCTAGAAGGATGACAGCAAAAACGTGCCTCTTTGTGCACAACCCTTTTCAAGTAGCATTCTTACCTGTTAGAAATGTAGAATGAACTTTGTTTGTAATCCTTAAATTAAAATGTGATAAGTAGGAAGCAAGAACTTATCCTGTGTTTTTATGCAGCCATACACTTATTTTAATCTAATTCATTCTGTGGCTAGATTGATGTAGGAATCAACCTATGTGATTTGCTTTAGGAGAAATTAAAAAGTATATTCTTAAGGTATATTATATTTTGATGCTAATTCTGTTCTGGGGAGCATCTTGTACTGTCACTGTTTTTGTACTAAATCTTCAAATATTGTCTACTGTGTAAGGCAGAAAAACTTCTTATCATGCAAAAACCATTTTGTTTCCAGGGTAACAAGTACCTAAGTGCATGCACAACTTGTTTTCCCTTGTAACATTCATGATCTCATTCACGACTCTGATTTTAAAACAAAATATCTTTACAACGAGCTCTATAGGGGCACACCAGATGTCGCAGTGATCTGAGCTATCAACAAACTGTTAACCATGTACAATATTTAAAATAGGCCTATTTTGATGTATTGCCTATTATACAAATACACAAAACACTTTTTGGAGGCCTCAGTTATGAGTGGCAGAGCTTTCTGTGTATAATTTGTCTAAATAATTTGTCTAATAAAAATGTTTTCTAAACTTGCTCTCATACCATTGAAGTCTTAACTATAAAATTTGAAAATGCTTACTTTCTCACAGATTGAACTGAATTTTTCTAAAAATTTATCTTGAGTTAATTAAAACATAAAACACATTAAGTTTTACTAGCAGAACTGTGCCAAAATGAGTGATCTCTAAAAACAATGCTAACTGACGTCCTAAACCAGTGAAAGACTGCCTTTGTGTTATTTGAAAAGATCTGAACCAACAATATATTTGTTTTGCTTCATGGATGTCTCTGTGAACACTTTTTGGGGAGAGATTTATCCTGTTTCATGTAAACAGTGCAACCATTATAGTAATAGCAGGATGAGGGTTTGCTACATCAAAAAGAAAAGAAAATTAAAGGTAATTACTATATTTAGAATTTATGTATTAATAGTTGCTTTGCTGTTAGGAAAATATTCATCATGCTGAATCTATTAATTTGAAAATTGACTCCAGGATTATTTCTAATACGGTATTGTTTTCTGCGTTTGAACAACAATATTTAATTCATCTATCATTTAATTCACTCAATGGATATATATCTGAAAATATATTCAATTTAGATTAAAATCTCTGCTGTTCTAAAATTCCATTAAAAATGATTTTTTAAATTTTGGAACCAGGAGGAACTGTAAAGATCGAGATTATCTCCTTCGTTTTACAAATAAGGGAACATAAGATGCTAAGAAGCTGTGACTTGCCCAAACGTTAGACAATCTAAGACTAAAAACTGGGTTTTTTTTTTTTTTTTTTAACTCTGCCACGCTTCAGCAGGTCCTCATGGGTATCAACGTAGGGACGGCTCAGGTGCAATGCCTCTCCCAGTCCTCTCCCCAAGCCTAGGCTGCAAATCTCTAGGAACCTTCCTTCTTCATCTGGGGCCACAGAGAGCATCTGCTTCAATTGCTCCTTTTACAGATGGGAAAGGCAACAGCCAGACTGCTTCCCCAAGGTCAGAGCTGCTGGCAGAGTTCAGGCCAGATCCTACTTCTGTCTATTGCTCCTTGCTTTAGCCCACTGTCTGCCTGGTTCACATCACTTACACCAACCTTCCTATTTCAAAACAAACGACAAATACCTTATAGCCATGTACTTTTATCCTACTCAGATGTCAAGTTTTTTCCTCTGGTGAATCATTAAGAGAACTGGTTGTCACTTTCAACCACGTTGGAACTTATGCACAGGTTTTGGTTTAATCATATATTAGAAAATTGTATGACCTCCTTTCTTCCTCATACATATCAAGCTACAGGCAATTTGTCATTTTCTTAATTATGTTATTTTTCATCTCTTTTAGTTTGGGATTGGTTGTCAATTGAATAAATACTTTAAAAAATAGACTTTGCTGAATAGTACTTTGCTTCATTAATTAAAAAGAAAAAAAGATGAAAAAAGATCCATTTACCCTACATAATACCTTCTAAGCTATGCAATTGAGTGACAAATTATTAATATTTTATAACCAGAATTTTGGAATGGTGAAACACATTCTGGATTACGAGTATAGTAAATAAGGCAGAGCTAAGAACTTTTGTACTGGCAAACGTAGGTTTTGTCCTTAAATATACATCTCATGATAATTGATAAAGTACAATGGCCTCACTAAAAATTGGCTTCCTTCTAGAGTGTTTTTATTTCTAAAAACAAATCCTGTTTCCAATCCTTGTGACCAGATATTAATAAATGGCTAGCAATTACAGCGACAGTTATCATTTAAACAAATTTTAGTAGACACCATCCCATAAGGTAGCATATATGAGCTCCCTTGGGTGGGAATGTCTTTTCTGACATTGAAAAATCAGGAAATAAAGCTTCTTAGATTTGATAGATTTAATTCAATTCTATTAGTGTTTACTGAAAACTTATGTGAAAACCACTGTGCTAAGCAGACACACGTGGCATAAATGAATGCATGTTTGGGAACGGGTTTGGATATGCTCTACCCCCCAGCTCTTTCCTTGCCCCATATCAACATGCAAGATACAGAGGCCACCTCACAGGCCTTCTGAGGTGGCAGAATGAGTCACCCTGAACCAGCACAGTCCTCTTTGGGCCTGGACAATCTACCTGACTGGAGCAATCCATCCTGGTAGTTCTCAAGGGCTAATCGAGTCTGTCTTCTTAGATTCAGATCACCTTCACAGAGAAGACTTGGAGATTTCCCAAGATGCCAGACCCTAAGGCCAAATTTTCAGAAATGTGAAAATTAACATAAGCCACAGACAAACTACTATCTAACCCTTTCTCCTTATCAACACCTGCATACCATTCAGAGACTGACTCCGACCCTCAGGTGTCCACGTCCTAATGGTAGAGACCACAATAACTCATTTTCTATCCCTGCAGGTCTAATCAATTGTGATAGGTAGAGCTCTAAGGTGTTTCAAACAATTTGCTTCAAAGAAACCAAACACAGTAAACCTTATTCAGGCTACTTTTCAACTTTTATAAACTTTTATTTATATTGCAACTAAGGCTCCTAGCCACCTTTCCTGTCATTTCAGACACAGGATACAGTGTGACTTCTGAGCCCGATGAATGCATAGCGCTTTACAGGCTGCCCACCATGACAACAGCCTTCACCCTAAACACACATCCAGAAGAATAGAAACTTCAGGATTTTGCTGCATTTTGTAGAGCTGCACAGAGGCGTGGAACAGTTACTCCACATAAGGATTCAGCCCACCATGGGAATAGGAGCAGGCTGCAGGAGCACTTTCTCTCTCTTACCTGGATTTCCCAAGTTTCTACTTTTTCAATAGTCTTCATTGATTTCCATGTAACATTAGTAACAAAACAAAAATTGTTCAAATTTGAGAAATTTTTTTCATTATCTAAAAGCTCTACCCTGACTTGCTATTACATATAGTTTAGGACCAAGCTTCACCTTTTGACTAATTTTGCACGTTTCCTAGAATTTCTTCAGAGTGAAGAAAAGAAGCTGGCTGTGCTGTTTGGATGTGTTACCTACCTTATGCTGTAGATGTGCTTGCTAGTCTTTGTGAGGAATGAGGGCCTGGTTTCCTTTTGCAGAAATCCTGTAAGTTCGGCTTCAGAATTGGCAGCAGATTTCAAAAGTCTCGAACTATCTGTGATGTGATAGAAATTCACAAAACTTTCAGGACATTAATTCTCATTAATTAAAAACTAATTTAGCTTTCATAACAGCTGCTTTAGAAAGAGAAACATATGTCACCAAATCAAAGAATGACACAACATCAGAACCAGAGAAGGAAGGAAAAACATGGCTTTTAATAAATATTTTGCCTGCCACAAGATTTGAAATAGAAGGCAAACTTTCATTTTTAAAGTTGCTATATTTTATTTTTAAACTGGTGGTACAGAAAAATTTTAGGAATTAATTAGCCTATATCTGCGGCTATTTTTAATTTTTAAAAATTGGGCATCAAATTACAGCTTGCTTGTTCACTACAGAAAATGTTCATAGTGAGGGGGACCTTAAGAATTAGTCCTTCTAATGTGCAATAAAATAAGATTGAAGCTGCAAACATTTAAGTTATGTAAAATGTTTCAGGATCACAGCCACTTCCTGGAGCAAGGGGTGCCGATGTCTGTTCCACACTAGATAAATAAGGAGCTGATAGCTAATATTCACTTCTTCTCTAGAATTA